CATGAACTATAGGACTGATGCAATCCCTATATTTCTTGAACTTGTTCCCCACTGTCATTGCAATTATTACATCATTTGGAAGACAATTCTACAAGTATATGTCGCAATACTTATATTTGGCCTTATCTTTTTTGCTGTCCAGACACGAAAGATAAATCGAAGAGACTTCAAAGATACCAAAAAAGTCAACGGCTTTGTGTTTGTGACCATGTTTCTTGTCATTATCTTCCTAGCTTCACATCAAGTACTGCGAGACCTCGAACTGTATCATTATGCTGACATATCTCTCTGCCTTCTTTACCTATCAATGTCTTTTGTTTGTCAGATATTCCTTTTCATGCCTAAAGTCATACCGAGTTCTTATGACCGGTTCAAGAATGGAGAAACAGCTGCAAACAGACGCCAATCAACAGCTTCAGTTTACGATGACCCCCCACCATCTCCTCATACTTTCACTAAAACCATCATTAGGAGCAGACTCTTCTCCCAGGCATCAATAGCACCAATAAATTAACAATATACAATGATGTTTATTTTTTGTGAATATACATAAAGATGTTTATTTATTTATTGAAATAATATTATTATTGCAGCCAATAAATTAGAGCTACAAGAGCAGGCAAATAAATATTATTAGTACAATCTTCATTTTTATTACATTTCCTGTTGCATATACATGTACTTATGTTGTATACAAAGTTTGAGCTGATTCCAATCAAAATTGGATTTTTTTACAAATTTTTAAAGTTGCTCCAAAATTGGTTAATAAGTCACAGGGACTTTGGTCAAATGGTACTTCATCAAAAGTTCATATTGTTATTTACTTTACTAACGATTCAATAACAATAACATGATGACTGAACACAATTTGTTCCAATCTGTACAGGAGATATAGCTTACTGCACTCTCTGCATCAAGCCTACTAAAAAGCAACTCTTACACTATATTATTTCAAGCTTTTAAATTACATTTTGATGGCAAGTTATTATATGCATAAATATATATTATTTCCAAAATTATTATTTTATTGACATTAATTTGCATTACTTGGTACACAGCACAAGGACATCAATATGTATCAGAAAATGTAATAACAATTTGGAGTGATTTTTTTACCATTTTTTGGAAAAAAACCATTGGCTATAGCCTTGTGTATTTTTCAGAATTTTGCCGTTTTCTTAAAATGGTTGTAACTCAAAAAATTGAAGTCGGAATCTGCTCAAACTTTCTACACAGCATAAAGACATCAATATGTATCAGAAAATGTAATGAAAATTTGGAGTAATTTTTTGGTCATTTTTTGGAAAAAACCATGGGCAATAGTACAGACACAGGGAAACCATAGTACAGGGAATTTTTCAAATTTCGGCCCATTTTTTCAAATGGCCGAAACTTGAAAAATTGAAGTCGGAATTGGCTCAAACTTTCTACACAGCATAAGTACATCAATATTTATCAGAAAATTTAATAAAAATTGGGGGTGATTTTGGAGCCATTTAAAAAAAAACCATGGGCTATAGCCTTGGGTAATTTTCAGATTTTTGACTTTTTCTTAAAATGGTCGTAACTTGAAAAATTAAAGTCCGAATCAGCTCAAACTTGCTACACAGCTTAAGGACATCAATATGTATCAAAAAATGTTATAAAAAATTGGGGTGATTTTAGAGCCATTTTTTGGGAAAAACCATGGGCTATAATTTTCAGATTTTTGACGTTTTCTTAAAATGGGCATAACTTGAAAAGTTAAAGTCGGAATCAGCTCAAACTTTCTACGCAGCGTAAGGACATCAATATGTATCAGAAAATGTAATAAAAATTGGGGGTGATTTCGGAGCCATTTTTGGAAAAAACCATGGACTATAGCCTTGGGTATTTTTCAGAATTTTGCCGTTTTTTAAAAATGGCCGTAACTTTAAAAATTGAAGTCGGAATTAGCTCAAACTTTCTACACAGCATAAGGACATCATTATGTATCAGAAAATGTAATAAAAAGTTGGGGTAATTTTTTCACCATTTTTTGGAAAAAACCATGGACTATAGCCTTGGGTATTTTTCAGAATTTTGCCGTTTTCTTAAAATGGCCGTAACTTGAAAAATTGAAGTCGGAATTAGCTAAAACTTTCTACACAGCATAAGGACATCAATATGTATCAGAAAATGTAATAAAAATTTGGAGTGATTTTGGAGCTGTTGTAAATCCTTTCTCTGATTCATACAAGGGCCTCGATTTACCAGCTGTATATAGGAAAGTGGAAGCTAGAAAGAAAAGGAAGTATGATGTACGTATCAGGGAAGTGGAGCATGGTTGTTTCTCACCTCTTGTTTTTTCCACCAATGGCGGGCTGGCTCCTGTATGTGATGTAGTTTTTAGACGAATTGCATTACTGACAGCTGACAAACTTAACAAACCGTACAGTTCAGTAATCAATTTCATCAGATGCAAATTATCATTTTCAATTATAAGATCAACAATTCGGTGTGTAAGGGGTACAAGGAGATCAATATATAGGCCCAGTGACTGTGACATTGATGTAGCAATCTCTGATGCTCGACTTCAATGTCACTAACATATTAATAAAGATTATTATTATTATTATTATTATTATTACTAATTTCACTTATAAACTCATTACTACTGATTTCTGATCCTATTTCAAATTCATTTTATTATTATTATTATTAAAAAAAAAAAAAAAAAAAATGGGCTATAGTCTTGGGTATTTTTCAGAATTTTGCCGTTTTTTAAAAATGGTCATAACTTTAAAAATTGAAGTCGGAATTAGCTCAAACTTTCTACACAGCATAAGGACATCATTATGTATCAAAAAATGTAATAAAAATTTGGGGTAATTTTTTCGCCATTTTTTGGAAAAAACCATGGGCTATAGCCTTGGGTATTTTTCAGAATTTTGCTGTTTTTTAAAAATGGCCGTAACTTAAAAAATTGAAGTTGGAATTAGCTCAAACTTTCTACACAGCATAAGGACATCAATATGTATCAGAAAATGTAATAAAAATTTGGAGTAATTTTTTCACCATTTTTTGGAAAAAACCATGGACTATAGCCTTGGGTATTTTTGAAATTTTGGCCCATTTTTGTATAGCCTCTTATTATATATACATTATTCATTTGTACTGCCATGCTTCATTATTAACAAACAATAACAATAA